CGTTAGTGGTCTTCTTTTTTGTTGACGATTTCAGCAAACTCTGATCTTTGGTCTTCTTCTTGGGCTTGTCGATCTCGGTCTTGGTGGTCTGATTTCGTACTGGCATTGTGGTGCTTTTCTTGGGGGTTGTTGGTGCAGTGTCGTGAAGGACATCTGCAGCTGAGTAGTGACGTTTCCGTGACGGAGGAGATGGTGTTCCAATAGACACGTCCTCATCCGATTCAGCGGATGAGTGAAGAGCAGAGGTGGTAGATCGCGAAGGTAAAGTTCTTGAAGGTTGAGTAGCAGCAGAAGAGTCTTCATAGTATAGACCCTCTAGAGGGATCAGACCAAGGATCCATTGCAGCTGAATTTACCACTAGGACAGGTGAAGGGTCAGCAACAGCTGGAGAAACTGGTGAAGCAGGAGCTGACAGTAAGTCTGAAAGCGTAGCCGCGTTCACAGTGATGTCACGGTTAGCAACTGGAACTGTAGCAGAAGTGGGGGGGGGGGTCTCAGGAGGCAGAGTTTTTTGAGCTGAAGGTACTAGAACAAAAGCTGAAGTCTGCATTGAAGTGGCAGAATCGTCGTCGGGTGAAGAGTCGGCATCCTCTACAGGGTCAGTTGCTGGAGTTGAACCTGGAGCGTTGTAGACTTCTTCAGGAACATTGAAGGTAGGGAGACCGTTCGCTTTGTAAAGAATTTTCAGAAGTCTTACAAATTCTCGGGGGTTAGTGCCAACAGTCATTCTGGCCGTCAATGTCAAAGCTTTTACTGTGCTATACAGTGATTGGCCGGGATGGAGACGGCGATGGCTGGCTCGATGAGTGGCTGGGATCTGGGTCCCCCATTGGCTAGTAGAGGCAGTAACAGGATGTTGCTGGTGTGTGGTGGTGATAGTTCCTCCTCCCGGAAGCTCCGGGAAAATGGCTGCTTGGATGTTGAAGGCAGAGGTTGAGGTGGAAACTGAAGTGCTGGAGCTGGTAGAGGAAGATTTGGATTCCTCCTGGGTCTCCAGGTTTTTGATAACTTCTTGTCTGCGTGGACATTGATGGGAGATTGCGACATGTTTGCCGTTGCAGAGCAGGCAGTGTGTTTTTTTCGAAGTGCAGATCGAATAGTGGTGGTCTTTGGCGCAAATGCTGCCTTTCTGGATGGTCTGTTGGCACTTGTTGGTTTGGTGAGAGTAGTCATAGCATCGGAAGCATTGGGTGATATTGTAGATTCTTTCCTTCTTCACTCGGAATGACGGGACGTGGACTCCACAGCAGAAGAAGCCATCTGTGATAACTCGGGTAGTCTGATTCACAGTGCTGAAGGTGATCTTCAAGGTGCGGCTGTTGCTCAACACGGTGTCAAGTACATCCAAGCCTGGGTTCTCGTTCTCGATGTTCTCTGCAAGTTCTCCAGTGTAAGCTGCCTCATCTATCTGCTCCATGATCCAGCAGCTGAGCTCACTGACAATGACAGACCGGGCACGAAGCAACTGGCGTGGGAAGTGAAGATTGAGGTGGTGCTGTGAACGAATTTGATATTCTCGGCTCATCAGTTTGTCGACGTCTTGCTCGTTAGAGAAACGAAAAACGAAGTTGGTGCCTTCTTGTTCGATGTCGTCAGGTGTTCAACTGCATCCCTGAATTGCTTCAGGGGGATTGGCTTGGTGAACGCTTGATCGTCAAGGGGCTCCCCCCCTGACCTTGAAGTGCTTATGATGCATGGTGGACGAAATATCTCTCGCAAAGACTACTCGTCACTGGAAATGGGAGGGGCCTCCCGTCTATACTCAATATAAAACACAAAGTTAGGAATAGAGTCTGACCATCTAGAGTGACGCAAGTCTTTTGCCAGTTATTTACCCACCCGGCAGTGCTAGGAGCGAGCGAGAGAGAGAGAGCTGGAGCAACGAGAACACGTCTGGCCGTGACGGTTGCAAGCTGCAGACCGTATTCAGTTTTAATTCCACGAGTTTTAAATATAAAGAATTTTTTTTTCAGTTTTATTAAACAATAAAGATTTTATACAAAATTTGAAAATATCCCAAGTGCTTTATAATTTATTGAAAGACTTTAGTCTTGCTTTTATTAGTTTTATAAAACTGTAATATCAATTTAGCTATAGGTTAAGTACTAATTGTAATTAAGAAGCAATAAATGCTATTTACATGCTTGTATTCTAACACTCACAAGGTTAGGTTAGATCGTGGTTTTTTATGCAGCTTTTCAGGTAAACTCTAATATTAATAATATTTTGGTGCGATGCTGGCCATTGTGTTTATGTACTATGCCGATAGTCAAGATTGTACTTATTACATTTAGTATTAAAACGTACTGTCAGTTAGGAGGAGGGGCTGCTTTCAAATATCACGAGCTCATATCCAGACATTTCTCCATCAATAACTTCTAAATCATTCCACAGATAATCAAGTGTTATAATATACAACTTTAAATAAGAATACATGTCAATAAATCAATATTTAAGAGAATATATATCATGATATATATAAATAAGTCAACAGGGAACTCATTAGCAGGACATGGTAACACTGGCTGGAGACGGTAAGCAAGGGGGGGGGGGGGGAAGAGGAGGGGGGAGTTAAGGGAGGTTTTCAAGACGTTACCGGTCAGCCGGTATACATAAGTATACATGAAATAAAGTAAAACATCATATACCAATATAAGTACCAAAACCTTGCCTCTGTGGTATACATCTCACAGTACCAGAATATAAATTAATAACATGAGCTAATGCAGTGAGCATTAATGATATGGATATATCACAGTATACATGCTTTTCATACATTAATTATATAAATGTATACATTCTACATCGCAATACACATATCACGTCCTATACAGCAATACGTAGTATTCCATACTATTAGTACATAATGATGTTTTCCAAGCTACAGGACATTAGGCTCCTGCTATTTCCTATACTTCAATATATTCACATACATGGCACATACACATGGAACTGAAATATAATATGCATAGGTATATTAAACATACATTGGCAATACGTATTAATTATTAAGCTATTACCAAAAGGAGAAAATATAGATATAATAATATTTGTGATACTAGGCTAATCAGCCAGGATACCACTATACATATTGAACGCATCATACACCAGCCACAGTATGATCATACATATATGTATGTGTGGTCATAACACTCTCAATCCTCCTGGTGTTCACTCCTATCCCCCTCCTTGTGGTGTTCACTCCTATCCCCGACACCACCAAGTGCCATCGGGACGTTGGGGATATAGTCTCGGTTACCAATGTATTTTGTACGGTCACGGTTGGTCGAGTGGTTAAAGTACCGGGTACGCCAGTTGCATAGTGCCTCTATTATTTCGAACAAATACAAACGTCCTAAATACATTAATGTAATGTTGTGGGGATATAATTAAGGGGAATGGTTGGTCTCACAGTGAAGACATGGTGTTCATCAACGACATCAAGACGTGCAACCCCTTCATCTGCGAGGAGAACTGTGTCGCCTACCTGTTCAGTGTGGACCTCTACATCGGCGGGTCGATTGTCTTCAGCAAGAACATGCTGGACCTGATGCTGGCTGACCCACAACTACAGCAGTCCATAACTAACATCACCGGCACCTCCCAGGTCAGATGAAAGTCGTTTTGTTGTTTCATTGAATTTGGTATATTGAGACTTCCTAACCCTTTATCTTAAATACTCTGTTCTCATTTCTTTCGCTCACTTTTCAATTAAGACCTATAAATTCCCCAATAACTTTTAGAGCTGTTTGTAAGATTTCCAGTACCAATATAACTGCCTTCTCTATCAGAGGAATTGAATCATAAGCAACAAACTCAATAAAAATCGCATCATGTTAGGTGGTGACTTCAACATTGTAGCAGTCTTACAAATGTCAAAGTCGAATATTTCCTTAACAAATTCTGACCATCTGGTGCTTGCCTTCATGGAGAGGTAGTGTCCCACTCCCCTCTCTCTTACTCTCGCCACAGCCTTCATAACAGCTGCATAATCATAAATTAATACACAATGGTCACTTGCCCCCAGTGGCATTTTAGGGTCAATATTTTCAATGTCCAATTTAGCTTTGTGTGACAACTAGGTCCAATCTTGCTTACGAAAAAGACGTGGGGAAGGGTCTCCCCCTCGTCTTCATGTTTCCTCCTTAATATGTTTTGTAAGTTTTCTGCAGCTTCTTTCATATTTGCTCTCCATGTTTCTTCTCCCCCTCTCGGATCCATTTATTCCCAGTCAATTTGACCATGATTGATATCTCTCATTACTAGTAGTTTTTATCTCAATCTAAGGGATAATTCAACCACACTTTGTATGTTACGCAAGCTCTGATTGCATGCTCATATTATTGTCCTAGTCTTCTATGATTCTCTCGTGGATTGTAAATTACAGCCACAGCTGCTTTTTTTCCAATGAAATTATTATTGTGACATAATTCGTATTATTAGTATACTCCTGTAAAGTTATCTTTTCAAATCTGCTATATCTTTTGACTAGCAGTGCTACTCCCCTTTTTTCATCTTATTAAATATTGTCTGGTGAATATTGTATTAGTGATCATTTCAGGTAATTTAGTTTCTATTATTGATATTATATCCGAGTTTGTTTCATCTATCATTTCTTTTAGTTCATTCGTTTTGCTTGACATTCCATCAGCATTTGCGTACCAGATTTTTAGGCTCTTTATTGGTACTCTGTTTTCTGTATGGGCAGCGGCCTGCCTGGGGTGGGAAACTGGATTGGTTCAGGTGTAGAAGGTATGGAAAGCGTTGGAGGATTGGTTGGAGTAGAGAGCCTTGGAGTGGAGGGCGGTAGTAGTGGTTTGTTGGGTAGTTTGTAAAGGGGAGTGAGGGGGGAGGCTTGTTGGTTGGGAGTAGGCTATAGATATATGCTGTGGATCAGGAATTAGTAAGGTACAGAAAGAATACTAATGGAGTGTGGGAGAGGGGATAGATGGAATGAAAGACGGGTGTTGGGAGGTTGTTGCGATTGGCTGGGGAAAGGATGTAGGTGTGGAGCCTGGGTTACTTTCTTGTTGTCAACACTGGTTACTGGGTGTAGCTGTTCTTATTGTAAGTTGTCATACACCCGCCTCCCTCCTTATGCCACTACTGTAAACTCGTTGCTCCACAAGCTGCTGGGAAGTGGTATGGGTTTCTCCCCCCGTTTCCCTCCTTTTATCTTCCTCCACACCTCCAACTTCTCTCTCTCCCTTCCTCCTCCATGCTCTTTCCCTGTGCTCTTCTATCCTTCTCTCTTTTCATCTTTGTCATAATCAAGTTCCACCTTTATGTAGCCTTCAGTTTATCTCAAGTTACCTTTTCGTGTCATTAGGTGCCGCCTCATTCACAAATGCCAGTTTTAGTGGTTTAATTATTCGTTGCTGCTGTGCTGTTGCATATTTACCTGAGGGCCATTAACACACTAGTGCCCTCGACAAGGACAGGAAGCCAGCAGCTTGTCAAATACCCCCCCCCCCAATTCATATGAACCCAGTCTGTAAACTTATAATAAGTCCCTCAGCTTGGTACAAGTGTGGTAGTCTGTGAATACGTACGGCTGATTCCCTTTCTTTACGCAAGTATTCAGCCTTGGTTTTCTCGGCTGTCTCTGTAAGGCTCTAAATAATCGGTGTTTTCTCTTTATGGATTATCCTCCTTGGCTGTTCTAGGAGTATGCTGTTTGCAGAGCAACATCCGCCATTTTTTCTCAACTATATTATTTTTTGCAACAATTTGGGTCCATGCGTCCCATGTCTTCAGAGTTCAGTCTGGCTAATTTGTCCTGTATGGTTTTTAATCTCTCGTAAAATTGTTTGCCATTAACAACTGCCTCTGTTGTACTTTGAGTACATCTTTTCTCAATCTTTGGTGGCTTTGTTTCTATATATTAAACAGTTTCTGTTTATACTTCATGCCTCTTTCTGTACTCAAGGTCTCTCTCGCAAATACTTAGCACTGCCAGTTGGCACTTCCTGTAGGTCAAACACAACCTCCATCCCTCACCTCCCCGTTACAGCACCGCTCCTGTGCCAGGTAAGTCCACTACGGGCTTGCCCTAGCCCGTGGTACTTGGAACTTTTTGTTCAGAGTAGCTGAATCTAAAACAACAAAAGCATTCCAGTAGGTACACACATTCCAAGTCTTCCTTAAATTTCTTACGTTTCTGAAATCTCTTGGCACTTTTTATAATCGTTTTTTTTCATAATCGTAAAGGCCTCTGAGTTCCTGTAGTACCTCTCCTATTACTGCTGTTTTCTACTCGCATTTATTTCTTATTTCCTATGTTGCATAGTGTTCCCTCATATAGTCCAACTCTTTCTTCAGCATTTTCTCTTATTCTAACTTCTGTTTGTGCATTTAGCTCTGCATAACTTCCCACTCCCTGGTGGAGCCATGCTTTTTTCCTCTACCCCGGCGGCCTCTACAGTGACTTCACCCCAGAGCCCCACTATGTTTCTTCCCTCCATGCTGGAGAGACTCGGAGCTTTAGTGCTGCTTATTTCTTTAAACCAACAAGATAGAGATACAAGTCTTGAAAACCTTTTGACGTCTCAATCTAGTCGTATAAACTATTGTCATATGAGGTCACGTAGCCTAGGCTACTGCAATATGAGAGTTGTTCCTGGGATTTTCCTCCACGACTAAGGGCTAATATCACTGTGAGGATCTATAAATAGTGGAGATATAGATGACAAATAACATAAGGAATAATTAATGTTGATATTGAGAGTCAACAGAAATAGTGTGAGGAGGAAGAATCGAGAGATGATCTGCTTCCTCCTCTATGTAGTGGAAATTTCCAGGGAAAGCGGTAAGTTCAAACGAAGCGGGGAGAGAGGCTGGACCAATCACCGTCGTATAAAACGGTGACGTCACGCCGAGGGAGCCGTCCGCCGGCGGCAAAACTCACTTCACCTCCTGGATGCTGGAGAGCTGCCTGTGGCTTTTCTCGTTTCCCGAGCTCGTTTCTGCGATTGTAGACCCGTGAGATGGACCGAACCACACTTACGTCACGGTAGGAACGTTTAGGAAGACGATATTAGCACCTGCTCTTGATAAATAGCCTGAGTCGCCGGGAACGTGAAGAAAGATGTCGAAAGACTCGCGTCACGGCAACCGGCAGATTGGCCTACGGAAGTTGTCGTGTATTGACGAAAGGGACGACGTTCCTCGTTTGTCGCACCTCTTGAGGAGAGGCGGGGACAGGTGAATACGGAAGGTCACTGTGGCACGGAGACCGCACCGAGGAACACACAAATAAAGAGGAGAACGAAGTTGACCCCGAGCTGCAGAGGAGCAGCTCAGCTGCCGACCAGTGTGTACGATTAACATCAGCCAGTAGGCAGGAACTGGTAAGACGCACAGTGGACTAGAAGATAAGGGGCCTGTAGTGGTTTATATTGAAACTAGAGTGGACACGTCGGGTCTAAGAAATCCCAAGAGGACTGAGGCTGTCAGCTGAAAGAGCGGCTGGGTTAAGGGTACCGAGGAAAAGAGTAATGTGCATGTGCAGGTTGAGAGGAACCAGCCCTTAAAGTGCTACTTTCGAAATTTTACAAAAAGGGGTCGAGCTTTGTAGCCCCGGCACCTAGTGAGGGTGACTGTTCCAGAATATTAGGCTCCGCGTGGAGGCGGGGCCCCATAGCTAAGAACCATGGCGGGCGGTTAGAAGACACCCCCCTCCCCTGGGAGGAAGACAGAGTGTCAATAAATAATTATATCAATAGTATCACAGGTGAATCGTCTAAAGCAGGCATGTCAAACCGAGGGTCCCAGAGGGCCAAATGGCCCACATTTGTGATGTCATGGGGGCCCCACACCACAACTAATTGAAGTCATTTAATAGAAATTATTGCAGAATATTTTCATTACTTAAATTTAGCAACATACAATATGCATACAAATGGTTTAGCGACTAGCAACATTCATGAATGCAAAGTAATGAAATGGTTTAACAAAAGAAAAAATAAATTTTAAACATCATAAACTTCTATGCAACAGCAACAAATACATTGTAAAAATATTACAACAGTTCAAAATGAACATTTATTTACGACTATTCAATAATTTTTAGTGTTTTCCCATGATGTTTGACACCTCTTTTTAATGACAATTATTGCTGTGTCTGGCTGAAATGTCTGCAGTTCTCACTTTAATAAAAAATGACACGTGTTGATCAGTCAGTCTTGTTCTGAGAAGTTTTTGTTGATTTCATGAAGGAAAATAACTGTTCACACACATAGGTAGAACGGAACATTGCCATGACCTTTGTGGCAAACTTTCTGAAGTTTTTAAACTTTTCAGGGAGGTATGAAAAGAAACCAGGTATCCCCACTTCAAGATACTTTGAGTGTAGAATCCGACTGCATTTCTAATAGTTCTATCTGAAGGCTTTCTTTTGCCTTGGCAACTTCAAAGGTGAATGGTGTTGAGAATAATGCAAAGTGGTGTTCAAAAGATGAGAAATCACGAAATCTTTCCAGAAATTCCTTTGACAACAATTCCAGGTGACTGTCATACCTAGCAAAGCTAAATACAGACTCAGTATTGGCAGTGTTTTTCAGCATTTTGCACTTAGGAAAATTAACAATTTTCATGTGACACCTGTGACTTCCATAAGTTTAGTTTTGTAATGGAGCACTTGATGTCATCAAACAACTGAATGGTGAGTTTGTTTGTACTTCTTAATTTCAAATTAAGATCAGTTAATTGTGCAGTAATATCCACAGCAAAAGCCAGAACCTGGAGCCAACTTTCATCTTTTATTTCATCTGTGTTTTGACCGTTCACCTCCAAAAACATAATTATTTCTAGTCTCAAAAACTAAACTTTTTAGCACTGTGACATGATAACCAGCGGACTTCTGTGTAGAATGGAACATTGGTAAACTGATTATCCGTATCTTCCAACAACTGGATGAATTGGCGGTGGTTGAGAGCACGGCCTCTGATATAATTCAGTCTTTATGACCAAACAAAGAACATGATCCAATAGTAAAATCTTTGAACACAAAATTTACTGATGAATATTGCAGTGAAAATGTGTAAATGATGAATCTGGATGAGTTTTCTATTTTTGTTGGTAACTTGGCAGCAACACCATTATGTCTGCCAACCATATTTGCAACACCGTCGGTAGATAAGCATGCAAGTTAATCAAATACAAACCATAGTCATGCAGAACCTGCTCGACTTTCTCAAAGATGTCCTGGCTTGTTATAGTGTCATGCATGAGGATCAGTTAGAGCAGTTCTTCATAAATATTACCCCCCTCCCCGCTCAGCTCGTTGATGCCGTGAGGGGGGCTTAGTGGGTGGCTGCCGGAGTGTGATGCTCCTTGGGACAGTCCTCTGTCCTTTTATAGCCTTGTGCTCCTGCTGCCGTCCTCTCCAATTGTGCTGAGCACCTTTTCCTTTTCCTTCTGTTTCGTTTTTCTCCCCCCTCTTCTCCTATCTGCTTGCCGTGTCCTGCCGACCTTTTGCTTGTTTTGGTTCTTCCTTTGGACTTCTATTTTGACGCCCGGGTGCTTGAGGAGGCATACTCTTGCACCCGTAGAACAGTAGTACCCAACATCGAGAGCGAGGGGAACCTTTTATTGTCAATTCCTTTGTCTTTAAATGTGTCTTTAAATGAGCGTGCAGATGCTGCCACCAAGGAAGCTGTCCGCTCTTGTCCCATTTCTCGTAAAGGTATTCCATATTTTGACTTTTACCCGGTTATCCATTCCTCCATCCTTACCCCTTGGCAGGCTTCTTGGTCGTCTGTTACTGGTAACAAACTACGTACTCTTAAATGTTGTGTCTCCACGTGGCCGTCCTCCTACCACCATAACCGGCGATGGGAAACAGCTCTGGCGAGGTTGCGTATTATCCATACTCGCTTAACCCATGGTCACTTAATGGGGCACCACCCAGCTCCTTATTGTCCTAATTGCATTGTCCCTCTTATGGTCGTGCATGTCCTTCTTGAATGTCCTGACTTCCAGGACGAGCGCGTGTCTTGCTTTCCGACTGCCCCTCGCGGTCGCCTGTCCCTCAATAGAATTCTTGGTGATTCGGATACTTTTGATATCGTTCGCCTTATGCGTTTTTGTTCTCGTATTGGCATCCTTGGTGATATTTAGCGCCCTCTGATTATTCTGCGCATTTGATGGTGCTACATAGCCTTCCCGGTTTGGTGCCTTCTTTTGATAATTACTTACTTCATAAATATTAAATTCACTGGCACAGGCCCTGATGACGACCGCAAGCTATGCTATTCCAGTGATCTTAACGGTCTCATCAATTGCAATAGAAAAAGTTCAAATCCTGACGATTCGGCCTTCAACTGGTGTTTCAAATCACCCGACATTTCATCAATCCGTTCAGCAACAGTGTTCTTGGTTAATGAAATACCTTTGAATAAGTTCTTTCTCTGGACACGCAATTTGAGCCGTTTTACAAGGCATTGCTTTACCAAATCTCCTTCACTGTAAGATTTCCCACTCATGGCGATCATTGGGCTGAGTTCATAGCTTGCAATAACGGAAGCCACATTCCCTTTCTCAATTTTCGTTAAACAGGTCAGTTGCTGTCTCAAGGTAGTCTTCACTTTCTTGAGTATTGAGACAAATTGGGTCTTCATATTTATCGTAAGATAAATATGATTCGTTTTATATTGTATTTTCAAGTTGTACTCTTTTGGCGTTGCAATGCTGTTGTTGTAAATTAAACAATGTATCTTTCCATTCACCATAGTACAAAAATACTGTAATTCCCATTTTTCTTGAAACACTCGCCCTTCTTCGTTCAGTTTCCCCTTTCTCTTCGCTGGAGGAGCACTAGCCATTTTATTCGTATGTATCGTAAATTGTATGTACCGATGTGATTTATTCGTATGTATCGTAAATTGTATGTACCGATGTGATTTATTCGTATGTATCGTAAATTGTATGTACCGATGTGATTTATTCGTATGTATCGTAAATTGCAGTGGAATATAAATAATCAGATGAAGGATATTGTTGATGGGATATTCTTTATGAAAATAGTTGATAAATTGAAGTGTTGCGTTTATAGTAAGATATAACGGGATAATTTATGACCATTTCTAGGATACTAGAGTAGGATATAGTCTTAGGATATGATTATTGGTGGTAATATTTAGAGTTGCAGATTGATGTACATTGATATATAACACATTCGATGTAAATCTGTGAAAATCCTAGTGGTTACTATTGCCCCTTCCTTGTGGGACCTTGGGTGGGAGACAAGGTAGCGTGGTCTGAACTTTTAACAAGCTGGACAAAGTACGTGTGAGAGCTATGGAGAGAGGAGGCTTAAGCTGAGATTGTAGTGAGAGTAACGGACGAACGGGCGGTCAGCGATATTCTCCCATGCCTCAATTTGAGAATCGCTTGAAATAGGCTACGGCAAGGTAGGTGCCTCATCACCTAGAGATTAAAGTTTTTTTATGAAACTAACGTGGGCCGATTCTCGTCTTTCTGGGCAGTTGGAAAGTCAAAGACGGAGTTAGTGCCTTCGTTACCTTACACTATACATTGTATAGTGTAAGGTAACACTATTTTACTAACACTACCACTACACTATTGTAACCACTACACACAGTAACACTACCTTACACTATTGTATTGTATTAGTAGGCAGCAGACTAATTAAACAAAACGGCGTGTCGGTGCATTCCTCTACAGCCATAGTGTGTTCTGTGTGTGTGTGGGAGGGAGTGGGGAGTCAGTAGTTCGACCTTGTGGGTAACCTCAAAATAAGCCTATCATGTATGTATGCACTTGTTGGACAGATCTGTGACGAGCACCCGAGTGAGTCCGTGGCAGCGTACGTGGTGGTGCCCATAATGGTGGTGGTCATCGCTGTCATCATGTCCCTGGTTATTTGCAGGTGTAGCAGGCACGATGACATTACTGAGTGAGTATCTCTGGAGTCTAATTCTTGAAGTATCTTTGAGTCTAATGCCCGCACACATAGTGTACACTCATATACATGCCACACACATTGTACACCCATGTACATGCCCGCACACATTGTACACCCATGCACATGCCTGCGCACATTGTACACCCATGCACATGCCTGCACACATAGTGTACACCCATGTACATGCTCACACACAGTGCACACCTATGTACATGCCCGCACACAACGTATAAATGACCCTTGAAAACTCCGCTCCATCCCTCACTAGTCCCCATCTCGTTTATTGCTCTCCCCTTCCTATTCTACTTTAGTCCCTTCCCATTCCTGCAAACCCTTTCCCATCCCTTGGTAGCCCGTTCCACACCACACCGTTGCCCCGCCCCCTTGGTTGCCCCGCCCCGCCCCCTTGGTTGCCCCGCCCCGCCTCCTTGGTTGCCCCGCCTCCTTGGTTGCCCCGCCCCGCCCCCTTGGTTGCCCCGCCCCGCCCCCTTGGTTGCCCCGCCCCGCCCCCCCCCCTTGGTTGCCCCGCCCCCGCCCCCTTGGTTGCCCCGCCCCACCCCCTTTGGTTGCCCCGCCCCCACCCCCCTTGGTTGCCCCGCCCCACCCCCCTTGGTTGCCCCGCCCCGCCCCCCTTGGTTGCCCCGCCCCGCCCCCCTTGGTTGCCCCGCCCCGCCCCCCTTGGTTGCCCCGCCCCGCCCCCAACCCCCTTGGTTGCCCCGCCCCGCCCCCAACCCCCTTGGTTGCCCCGCCCCACCCCCGCCCCTTGGTTAGCCCCGTCCCACCCCTTGGTTAGCCCCGTCCCACCCCTTGGTTAGCCCCGTCCCACCCCTTGCTGACCAAGTCATGACCTTCAGGAAGCAGCAGAAGTACGAGAGGGAGCAGCAGGAGCGGCTGGAGGACCAGCGGAAACGCTCGTCAGGGATCGTGTCCATCCTGGGGCTGGGCACCGACACCCGCCACGGCTCCGCCAGCTCAGGTCCCTTCTCCAAGGCTCCCGCTGACGACGACGACCTCAACAACCCCTTTGATGGAGAGGTCAGTGCTCTGTGCTCGCCTAGATGTACTTGCTGGCTCGGGTTAGGCTCCTAGTCTAACCCGCTAGGAGTTAGGCTAGGCTAGATCAGTTTTAATTATAAGATTGGCAGGCGATGAGTCACAATAACGTAGCTAAAGTATGTTGACCAGACCACACACTAGAAGGTGAAGGGACGACGACGTTTCGGTCCGTCCTGGACCATTCTCAAGTCGATTGTGAGAATGGTCCAGGACGGACCGAAACGTCGTCGTCCCTTCACCTTCTAGTGGTCTGGTCAATATAAGATTGGCCTTTCGAACGTTCTCAGATTAATGCTGTGACACTAGGTTGAAAGAGATTATTCTAAGAACAGCTAGTTCATTCCACATAGTTCTGACATAGAGTATTTTCCGCTAAGAACTTAACCAAATTGGGAAAACAAAACTTATTTTCCGTTTTCCATGTGGTAAAACTTTAAGATATAGCTAATGCATTATGATCAAATTGGCATGCACTAAAAAAGGATAAAAAAGATTAAAATCAAAGCGAGTGCTTAGCCCTGATAGAGTCCAGACTGCCTATGAGCCATACTCTTCTAAAGTGGACTATAAAACAGGTATCTTTTTATCTATTCCAGTTAACTGTTGAAGGTTTACCACAAATTAGAGATATAAATTAATAGGATTAATCAAAATAAATAATCTTAATGGACTTGTTCTCAAAATCTGTCTTGAATTTGTTATCTTAACTCGAGGTTAAAGCCTAACTTTCTAAATAACTATTGCTATATACCTATAATGATTTGATTAAGGTAACTGCAACAATAATAGTAGTTGTATATCATTTGTATGATATTAAATAATATAGGAACTGACCTGTGAGATTTATATTTAATTTATAAGGAATTTATATTTGTTAATTTATATATTTCGATAGTAATTGTATGATGTTTAGTAGACTATATTTCTGCAAATTTTCACAAATCAACTCATTTACACATTAGGGGGGTTTATATTTAATTCATATATGTGGTCAATCATATTGATTGACTAACATTCACTACAGTATTAGCCTACATATATTAGTAATTAAAATTGGGAGGTGGTATCATATTGTATGGTAGGCCTGGTCCACCAGTTATAAACAAGGATGATGACACCAAATAATCCTCATGGTTGAGGCTGGCATCAACTGTTCCTGTCAAACGGCCAAGTACGTGTGCCGCAAAAAATGTGTGTACTTGCCGGCTGGGGATTTCAATTCTCTTTTGTTCCTGTCAAACGGCACTTGCAATAATGAGTTTTCAGTTGCATATTGCCCTGGGGACCATTCATATATATATATATATATATATATATATATATATATATATATATATATATATATATATATATATATATATATATATATATATATATATATATATAAAATAATTATTATGACTGTCAGACCACGGAGAAAGAATTGAAACAGGAATTTCCTTAAGTACTTTCGTATACTAATACATCTTTAGAAGAAATGATTTACAAGTCAAGTATTGGACAAATATATAGGCAGGAGAGAGAGGTGAAATGAAGTGAGGTACAATACAAAATGAATGGGTATTAGGTGGAAATAAATAAGAGCTGCATAAGAACTGCAGAAGGCATATTAGCCCATACGAGGCAGCTCCTATTTATACCCACTAATGGTTTTTGGGCCCATAAAATAAGAGCTGCACCAATAGGCCCATACATGGATAATAATAATAGCATAAAATAGTAAATATTTACAATGAATTAGTGAGACAAATGTGTATCAATGATCCTACTCAAATCCACCTCTAATTGATCTATCAAAATGGATCTAAGTTATATAAATCACTGTTAATGTTCAAACTACATTCTTTTGGTAATCTGATAGTCACTCCATCTATGTTGGTATATACAATTTTCAAGAACCTGTTCCCCTTCCTTTTGTCCTTCACTCCCCTTTCCTCAAATGATTTCGTTGCTTTGTTTTCATGTACCGTTTCACTAACTTTCCAGTCCGTAACACTTTATATACAAAATATTTTCTTTCTTCATTTCTATTCCCATTTAAACGTTTTGCTTCAGTGAGGTTCATTTTCAGATTTTCTCCGTCTTCCTTTGAGGTCTTGTCTTATTGACCAAAGTTTGTCATCCTCATCACCCTCAATTTCCTGGCATTTCTAAGCACTTCTGTCGTGTGTTTCACTCCATTATATTCTCATCCTTAAAGAGAGGGTTCTTGTCTCTCTCATATCTTCCTATCCTCCTAAAACGACTGACATTTTCCTTTGAATTGAGGTTTTCTCCTAAACCTACTATTTTCTCTGATTTTCATCTCTTCTGCTGCTCTGTCCACCCTAGATGAAATTTCCTTTTCTAAACACCCAAAAATTATTATGGACTTAGTTCTATCTGCAGTGTTTTGTCCTAGTTTACTGTTGGTTACTAGTTCCTTCCTAATTGATTTTCTAATTTCTGCTTCTTGTTTGTCATTTCTGGTTTTGACCTCTAAAGACACTTCCTCGATCGTCTCTTTCTCTTTTACAACTTGCGCATACGTCTCTTATTTCTTCTTTGTATTTTTTTAGTTCTTTATTAACCTCCTCTGTGTGAGTTGTCAATGAAGTTTCTCTTTGCATATCCTTGTCTAACTCCATGTTAGCCCTCAGGGGCCCCATGGCGTTATCTACCACATGAGTATTTTCTTTTTTATTTCTTCATGTTCACCACTCTTCACTCTCCATACCTCATTATATTTCACCAGCTCCTTGATTTGTTCCTCATGAATCTTTAGTTTGTCCGTTAATGCAGTAATTTTGCAACTTGCAGTGTGTGTGTGTGTGTGTGTGTGTGTGTGTGTGTGTGTGTGTGTGTGTACTCGCCTAGTTGTGCTTGTGTTTGAGTGTGTGAATGGCTCATCTCTTATCAAGAATCTCTCCCGTAGGACATCGACATGACAGACTTCATGGAATACGACCCAGACTTTGTGGGCGTTAACCCGTCTGACTTTGGGCTGGAGAAAGGTCAGTTGAGCCGTTATTTGCAGTTTATGTTATGGGTCTGTTAGGTATCGTCACTATGACAAATAAGCCGGTTGACTTATACCAACTTGTTGAAGAAATGTCAGCTGATCTCGCATTCACATTTCAAAGAAGATTCAGTTAACCATTATTGTTTATAGTTGAGTATTGGTTAACTTTTCTAAATTCAAAATCATTAGTTAATCATAGAGTTCAGCAAGAGGAGTCCCGACCCGATGCCCGGCGCACGCCACTGTTGTGTGACGCCCGGCGGCGCACACGCACTGTTGTGTGACGCCCGGCGCGCGCGCGCAGTTGTGTGACGCCCGGCGGACACACTGTTGTGTGATAACTTTCATTATGGTTACTAATCACGTTTGTGCAACTTTATCGGGATCACTCCACCCCTTCTGATGTTATGACGCAGACCCTCAGGGACTCACGCGTTCATAGTCACAGACTCATGGATGCACAGATTCAAAGACACACAGACACAGACTGGTAGATTCACACACTCACAGATGCACAGACTCACAGATGCACAGACTCACAGATGCACAGACTCACAGATGCACAGACTCACAGATGCACAGACTCACAGATGCACAGACTCACAGATGCACAGACTCACAGATGCACAGACTCACAGATGCACAGACTCACAGATGCACAGACTCACAGATGCACAGACTCACAGATGCACAGACTCACAGATGCACAGACTCACAGATGCACAGACTCACAGATGCACAGACTCACAGATGCACAGACTCACAGATGCACAGACTCACAGATGCACAGACTCACAGATGCACAGACTCACAGATGCACAGACTCACAGATGCACAGACTCACAGATGCACAGACTCACAGATGCACAGACTCACAGATGCACAGACTCACAGATGCACAGACTCACAGATGCACAGACTCACAGATGCACAGACTCACAGATGCACAGACTCACAGATGCACAGACTCACAGATGCACAGACTCACAGATGCACAGACTCACAGATGCACAGACTCACAGATGCACAGACTCACAGATGCACAGACTCACAGATGCACAGACTCACAGATGCACAGACTCACAGATGCACAGACGCACAGATGCACAGACGCACAGATGCACAGACGCACAGATGCACAGACGCACAGATGCACAGACGCACAGATGCACAGACGCACAGATGCACAGACGCACAGATGCACAGACGCACAGATGCACAGACGCACAGACGCACAGACGCACAGACGCACAGACGCACAGACGCACAGACGCACAGACGCACAGACTCACAGACGCACAGACTCACAGACGCACAGACTCACAGACGCACAGACTCACAGACGCACAGACTCACAGACGCACAGACGCACAGACGCACAGATGCACAGACTCACATACACGCAGATGCACTGCCACAGAAACACAGGCTCACAGATCAGCCCATCCTCCGAATATGGGGAGGTACATGTAACGGTACAAGTAAGTGTAATTATGTACTGTTTCTAGCAGTCGGGAATTGTACTTATTACACTTAATATATATTAAACCGTACTCTCAAATAATCGCCAGAATCACACCAAAATATTGTGAATATTTGAGTTTATCTGGAAAGTTGAATAGAAAACCACGACCTAACCTAACCACCTTAGTGTATGAGGACAAGCATTTTATTGCTTCTTAATTACAAATAGTACTTAACCTATAGCTATATTGATATTACAGTTTTATAAAACTCATAAAACAAAACTAAAATCTTTCAATAAATTATAAAGTAACTCAGGATATTTTCAAATTTTGTATAAAATCTCTATTGTTCAATAAAACTGAAAAAGAAATTCTTATTATTTAAAACTTGTACATATAGCGATAAACATGAAAACTTCATCCTAAAATTTTGAGTGTTAAGATTGAAAACTTGGAGAATATTTGGGAAGTTAAATGTAACGGCACAAGTGTAATTATGTACTATTACTAACAGTCACGAATTGTACTTATTACACTTAGTATTAAACCTACTATCAATTCGGAGGATGCGTTGCGCAGATACACACAGACAAAATAAAATAAGACTAAAACAGTCTCCAGAACCACTTATAAGACCAGTTTGACAATGCTCGAATACCCAATAATTTTTGCAAATATAATTTTTCTGTCTAAAACACTTGAGCTAAAACCCTAAATTATTTTACATGGTGAGTAAGATCAGACGTGTACATAATGTCCTGTTTCTTGCCCTCTCGTGCGTCGACGACCAGAGTTCATGACCACTCGGAGGCCCATGACGTATTACAACAACGATGCCTTCGAGGAGGACGAAGCGACGGTGTACCAGAGGGCGCCCTCATCCTCCCACAGCATCGCAGCTACAGACAGTGACGACTCTGGTGACGGGGATGCTCTCAGCTTCCAGAAGAGCACCAGGTATGCCTCCTCTTATGTTACTTTCACAGTCCTGTTCTCTCTGACATTAGCGGTGATATCAAGAGCTTCACAAGTGACAATAGCGAGGCGTTGCCAACGTGTGGTGTGTGATGTGATGTTTTTCTCCGCCAGACACCAAAAGATGCACTTCATCATTCCAGCCGAGATTCACGCCAAGGAAGACGCAAACGAGACCGTGCTCTAGGTGGGCCAGAACCGTGCTCTAGGGGGGCCTAGACCATGATATACGTAGAGCAGGACCTGCATGGCTTCGCTTACTATCTATCCGGACTCCTCGACCCCCCTTTACTAGCCCTCTTCAGGTCCTATGGAGAGTTACAGCCCCTCTCCTCCTGCACCACCAGGCGTTTACTTTCTAAGACCGTTGTGCCACTGTAACCTGTTATACTGCAACACACAGGACGGGTGTGTGTGTGGGCCACTACCACTCACAGGATGGGTGTGTGGGCCACTACCACTCACAGGATGGGTGTGTGGGGTCCACTACCACAACAGGATGGGTGTGTGGGGTCCACTACCACTCACAGGGGTCCACTACCACTCACATGGGTGTGTGGGCCACTACCACTCACAGGATGGGTGTGTGGGCCACTACCATGGGTGTGTGGGGTCCACTACCACTCACAGGATGGGTGTGTGGGGTCCACTACCACTCACAGGATCACAGGATGGGTGTGTGGGGTCCACTACCACTCACAGGATGGGTGTGTGGTCCACTACCACTCACAGGATGGGTGTGTGGGCCACTACCACTCACAGGATGGGTGTGTGGGCCACTACCACTCACAGGATGGGTGTGTGGTCCACTACCACTCACAGGATGGGTATGTGGGCTACTACCACTCACAGGAGGATGGGCCACTACCACTCACAGGATGTGTGGGCCACTACCACTCACAGGATGGGTGTGTGGGCCACTACCACTCACAGGATGGGTGTGTGGGGTCCACTACCACTCACAGGATGGGTGTGTGGGGTCCACTACCACTCACAGGATGGGTGTGTGGGGTCCACTACCACTCACAGGATGGGTGTGTGGGGTCCACTACCACTCACAGGATGGGTGTGTGGGGTCCACTACCACTCACAGGATGGGTGTGTGGGGTCCACTACCACTCACAGGATGGGTGTGTGGGGTCCACTACCACTCACAGGATGGGTGTGTGGGCCACTACCACTCACAGGATGGGTGTGTGGGCCACTACCACTCACAGGATGGGTGTGTGGGCCACTACCACTCACAGGATGGGTGTGTGGGGTCCACTACCACTCACAGGATGGGTGTGTGGGGTCCACTACCACTCACAGAATAGGTGTGTGGTCCACTACCACTCACAGGATGGGTATGTGGGCCACTACCACTCACAGGATGGGGGTGTGGGCCACTACCACTCACAGGATGGGTGTGTGGGGTCCACTACCACTCACAGAATAGGTGTGTGGTCCACTACCACTCACAGGATGGGTATGTGGGCCACTACCACTCACAGGATGGGTGTGTGGGCCACTACCACTCACAGGATGGGTATGTGGGCCACTACCACTCACAGGATGGGTGTGTGGGCCACTACCACTCACAGGATGGGTGTGTGGGCCACTACCACTCACAGGATGGGTGTGTGGGGTCCACTACCACTCACAGGATGGGTGTGTGGGGTCCACTACCACTCACAGGATGGGTGTGTGGGGTCCACTACCACTCACAGGATGGGTGTGTGGGGTCCACTACCACTCACAGGATGGGTGTGTGGGGTCCACTACCACTCACAGGATGGGTGTGTGGGCCACTACCACTCACAGGATGGGTGTGTGGGCCACTACCACTCACAGGATGGGTGTGTGGGGTCCACTACCACTCACAGGATGGGTGTGTGGGGTCCACTACCACTCACAGGATGGGTGTGTGGGGTCCACTACCACTCACAGGATGGGTGTGTGGGGTCCACTACCACTCACAGAATAGGTGTGTGGTCCACTACCACTCACAGGATGGGTATGTGGGCCACTACCACTCACAGGATGGGGGTGTGGGCCACTACCACTCACAGGATGGGTGTGTGGGGTCCACTACCACTCACAGAATAGGTGTGTGGTCCACTACCACTCACAGGATGGGTATGTGGGCCACTACCACTCACAGGATGGGTGTGTGGGCCACTACCACTCACAGGATGGGTATGTGGGCCACTACCACTCACAGGATGGGTGTGTGGGCCACTACCACTCACAGGATGGGTAAGAGTGCACAATAAGCTTACCTAAGCTTCACTGAGCTTCACTAAGCTTCAGCAAGCTTAACTAAGCTGCACTAAGCTTCACTGAGCTTTACCCTAAGCTTCACTGAGCTGCACTAAGCTCCAGTAAGCTTCCCTAAACTTTACTAAACTTCCCTAAGCTTCAGTGAGCTTCCCTAAGCTGCACTAAGCTTCAGTAAGCTTCCCTAAGCTGCACTAAGCTTCAGTAAGCTTCCCTAAGCTGCACTAAGCTTCAGTAAGCTTCCCTAAGCTGCACTAAGCTTCAGTAAGCTTCCCTAAGCTGCACTAAGCTTCAGTAAGCTTCCCTAAGCTTCCCTAAGGGGGCATATCAATGTAAAATTAAAAGTGGTTCAATTTGCTTATAACTTTTTTTATGAAATGGTTATAGAAAGGGCTGCAGCTGGTCCAAGTTTCATCATCACACCCTAAACAGAAAAGGAGAAAAAAAATAAACAACGAATTATGCAACGAATTTTCAAATAGTTTCAGGGAACACATGTTTCAACTAAAATCATTTCTATAACACTCAGATATTAAATTAAGCACATAATAAAAGATTCTAGTGATCAGTTTTATCAAAAAAGTGTTTAGTGCAATAATATAATTTTTCAAAGTTACCCTTCTAAAAAAATATGCAATATATGATATTTATAAATTTTTATAAAATCAACAAATAGACTTTGGACTAAAATGTCTACTAGATTCTGTAGAAGCACAAACGCTACATATAATGTGTAATTTGCATGTAAATTGATTAATAAATGAAAGCTCTGAAGTAATTTGAAGGTGTAAATTACTTTCCAGAGTAAAATAAAGATCCAAGTTCGGCCACCTGTAGCTGAGCTTGACTTCGACAGATTTCGTTCATAATTGGCACCCTTGCAGATAGGCATCCATTGAGCAAGGTGTGCAAGTTCCATGCAAATCCCTTGATAACAAACGAGAAAAAAATATTGGCCAAAAAAAAAAGAAAAAAATAAAAAAAAATAAAAAAAAAATAAAAAATTTTAAATATAAATATATTGCACATACATATTACAATTATTACAAGAGTTTGTGCTTCTACAGCACATAGTAGACATTTTAGTTGACACATGTGTTCCCTGAGATTATTTGAGAATGTTGAACATTCGTTGCATAATACGTTGTGTATTTTTTTTCTCCTTTTCTGTTTGTTTGTTTTCTGCCAGGCTTTCTCAAGCCTGGCCTCAGGCTGGGCTTGGGGAGTAGAACAACTCCCAGAACCCCATCCAGCAGGTATCAGGTAGGGTGTGATGGTGAAACTTGGACCAGTTGCAGCCCTTTCTATAACCATTTCATAAAAAAAATTATAAGCAAATTGAACAACTTTTAATTTATAACGATTTAGAATGATATGCCCCCTAAGCTGCACTAAGCTTCAGTAAGCTTCCCTAAGCTGCGCTAAGCTTCAGTAAGCTTCCCTAAGCTGCACTAAGCTGCACTAAGCTTCACTGAGCTGCACTAAGCTTCCCTAAGCTTCAGTAAGCTTCACTAAGCTGAACTACGCTGCACTAAGCTTCACTGAGCTGCACTAAGCTTCAGTAAGCTTCACTAAGCTTCAATATGCTGCACTAAGCTTCAGTAAGCTGCGCTAAGTTTCACTAAGCTGCGCTAAGCTTCACCAAGCTGCGCTAAGCTTCAGTAAGCTTCCCTAAGCTTCACTAAGCTTCAGTAAGCTTCACTATGCTGCACCAGCCTCCACAACATCCTGGACACCTCGCGCCACGCTGCTCCCAACTTCTCAATAACCTTGAGGATGATAGTTAATTTAATCGTTTTGATTTGCACTGGTTTTGCGTGCGTGTGTGCGTTTTTTTCTGTGTGAAAATAATGTGTATATATAAATATTTGTATACATGGGCAGCAGGCGTTCCTTTAAACATATTGGTTAAATGACCTCATTGCTGGCATTGTTGATCTTGTAGTGTAAACTTTCTATGCTTCTATTTTCTTAGTATGAGTATTAAGAAGAGCAATCAGGTTACCAAGTCCATGGTAACGAGACCAGAGTTAATACTGAAGGGTTAAATTTCTACAGCGTTCGCTCCTCTCTGGAACTTCTTCAGGTAAACAATGAATACATGATGGACAGTTGTTGGTTAAATATACGTGTGAAGGAGTCGGTGTGTGGGGGGGGGGGGCTAGGGGAAGGAGTGTAGGGGGGGTAGGTGAAGGAGCAAACGTAGGGTAAAGGGAATGGGGCAATTAAGCAGAGGGAATAGGGGTTAGAGCTAAACATATGGAACCCCCTCCCCGCTCAGCTCGTTGTCGCCGTCTGGGGGCTTAGTGGGCGGCTGCCGGAGTGTGATGCTCCTTGGGGCAGTCCTCTGTCCTTTTCTAGCCTTGTGCTCCTGCTGCCGTCCTCTCCAATTCTGCTGGGCATCTTTTCCTTTTCCTTCTGTTTCGTTTTTCTCCCCCCTCTTCTCCTATCTGCTTGCCGTTTCCTGCCGACCTTTTGCTCGTTCTGGTTCTTCCCTTGGGCTTCTTCTACTTTGACGCCCGGGTGCTTGAGGAGGCATACTCTTGCACCCGTAGAACTGCAGTACCCGACGTCGAGAGCGAGGGGAACCTTTTATTGTCAATCCCCACTTCGTCACTGAACCCGATCTCGACGGACTGTCGGTTTCTTAAGGTGGCGTTTGTGGGGCGTATACTCACGACGCACCCCTAGGAGGCCCCGACAAGATCGGCGATAGCTTCTTGTTGGGTGTCCTGCCTCTAATTGTGGCTCCATGGTGGGTGTGGGGGCACATTCGTGAGTGAATTCGTAATTTCGTCAGGATGATAACCCCTGTTTCGGCTGCTTCTGGCTTACCTTTTCAGGCTCGTGGGGTGGGCGACCAAGCCCCCGAGTCGGTCCGTATTGGAAGACCGGGCTCTGTAGCCTCCGCTGCATTGGGCCCCGACCTTGCTCCTCCTTTGGCCTCTCTGACTCCTTCCCCTGGCTCCCCTCCCTCCTCTGTGGTTGGGTCGAGCCCCAAGCCCCCAGTGGTGACTACCTCGTCCCCTGGCGCGGCTCCTTCTCTAGTTGTAACTACTGCGCCTTTTAACCCCTCTCTCTCTGGGGGTTCTCACCGCCGTTCTCGTCACGGCCGCCCTCGCTCGATTCCTTCCAGTTCTGCTACCTATCAAGCCTTGTTTGGTCCCGCTTCGTGGGCCAAATATTTTGATCTCCTCCCTCTTGATTCTGCGCCTCCTGACGATTTCTCCCTTCATCGACATCTCATTGATTCCGTGGATGCCTCC